AAAAAAAAAAAAAAAAAAAAAAAAAAAAAAGGAAAAAAAGAAAAGAAAAGAAAAAGAAAATCGTAAGGAAAAGAAAGCGTATTCACTATTTACTAAGTGTACCATCAGAAAGGTCTTCATCCTTGTGGTCTTCAAGCTGAGTGGGCAGAGGGGGAGGAGAAAGAAGAGGGGGTGGTCTTGCTGTTTCAGGGGTGGAGAAAAATCCATGGATAAGCATAACTGGACCCACGCAATTCAGACCCACGTTGTTCAAGGGTCAGCTGTGTTTGGACCAGGTTCCTGGGGAAGAGGAAAGGCTGGGCAAGGCTGGAGACAGAGGAGTAGATAAGACCTGTGCTCTGAGGGTTCCCCTTGCTTCCTCCCCACAGGGGTCATTGCCGGAGCCGTTGTGGGCATCCTCCTATTTCTCATCCTGGTGGGCCTGCTTATTTTCTTCCTGAAGAGGAGGTGAGACTCAGCACAGGGCTGACCGCCTGAAGGGTGGGGGCCGGAGAAGAAGGAGGAGGACCCCTGGTTGCAGCCTCACTCCCTGAGCCTTTTATCTTAATTCCTTTTCCCAGGAATAAGAAGAACCAGCAGAAGCCAGAACTCAGTGATCTGGTCTTCAGGTGAGCAGAAGGTTTGGGGGGCACATCGGTTTGGTGTCGAATTAAGGGGTGTTTGCTGGCTGCTGGCTAAGTCAGAAGGTGGATCGGTGAATCTACCCACAAATACCTCAGACGGGACTGATGCCCCTGAGACAGGAACCATAGCCCTTCCATTGCAGCTCACTCCCCAAGCAGCCTGGGCCAGTGACTTTAAATTCAGTTCTGGTGTCAGCTCCAGGACGTTCACTCATGCATTCATTCATTCATTCAGCAGATATCAGCTGAGCACCAGCATGTATCAGGCACTGTTCCAGCTGTCAAACAAGCGGTAAATTAAACCAAGAGTCCTGCCCTCCGGGGCTTATATTCTAGTACTGGAGACATCAGTAAGGAAGATCATAAACAATATGATATAAACCTGGAGACAGGACCAGGCATGGTGGCTCATGCCTGTCATCCCAGCTACTCGGAAGGCTGTGAGGCAGGAGAATCACTCCTGAACCTGGGAGGCGGAGGTTGCAGTGAGCTGAGATTGCGCCACTGCATTTCAGCCCGGGTAACAGAGCAAGACTCCGTCTCAAAAAAAACCAGGCGTGGTGGCTCAACCTATAATCCCGGCACTTTGGGAGGCCAAGGAGGATGGATCACGAGGTCAGAAGTTCAAGACCACCCTGGCCAACACCATGAAACCTTGTCTCTACTAAAATACAAAAAATTAGCCTGAGGTGGTAGTGCACGCCTATAGTCCCAGCTACCCGGTAGGCTCTGGCAGGAGAATTGCTTAAACCTGGGAGGTGGAGGTTGCAGTGAATCGAGATTGTACCACTGCACTCCAAGCCTGGGAAACAGAGTGAGACTGTCTCAAAAAAAAAAAAAAGAAAAGAAAGAAAAAAACAAATATATATGTATTAATAATATATAAAATAATAAACTTGTAGACAAAGCAAGAGGATGGGATAGGAAGGGTTGAGGAATATTTTAATATTCTTCTAATGTGAAAATTAGAGGAAATTAGAGGGAAAATCAGAGGATTTTAAAATTTTTATTTATTTATTAATTTGTTGAGACAGGGTCTTACTCTGTGGCCCAGGCTGGAGTGCAGTGTCACAGGCGTAGCTCACTGCAGCCTGGACCTCCTGGGCTCAAGTGATCCTCCCACCTCAGCCTCCCCAGTAGCTGGGACTGCAGGCACGCTCCACAATGCCTGGCTAATTTTTTAATTTTTTTTTGTGGGGGGAGTCTCATTAGGCTGTCCAGGCTGGTCTTGAACTCCTGGCCTCAAACAATCCTTCCACCTCAGCCTCCCAAAGTGTTAGGATTACAGGCATGAGCCGCCACACCCAGCAGGAATATTTTAGGCAGGATATTCAAGGAAAGTCTGGCTAACAGGATGACTCAGAGGAAGTCATCTGAGCACAGACCTAAGCAAGTGGGAGAGGAGCCGTGCATGCATCTGGGAAAGGCGTTCTGAGGACAGGGCGGGCGAGCGGAGAGCCTGAGGCAGCAGCACACGTGGGATTCAGTGGCTCACGCCTGTAATCCCAGCACTTTGGGAGGCCAAGGCGGGCAGATCCCTTGAGGTCAGGAGTTTGAGACCAGCCTGACCAACATGGCAAAACCCCATCTCTACTAAAAATACAAAAATTAGCCAGGCATGGTGGCCAGTGCCTATAATTCCAGCTACTTGGGAGGCTGAGGCAGGAGAATTGCTTGAGCTTGGGAGGCTGAGGTTGCAGTGACCCGAGACCACACCACTGGGTAGCAGCCTGGGTAACAAAGTGAGATTCTGTCTCAAAAAGAAAAAGGAAAGAAGGAAGAAAGGAAAGAAAGAGAGAAAGAAAGAGAAGGAAAGGAAGAAAGAAGGGAAAGGAAGAAAGAAAGGAAGAGGGAAAGTGAAACTACAGGAATGGGCCAAACCCTGTAAGAAGTGTGTGTCCAGTGAGAAAGCGGCTTGGAGAGGGACACTGGGGAACACGTACCTTTGAAGATGGACCGAGGAGGAGGGGTCTGCCCAGGAAATGGACAAGCAGCAGCCGGGTAGGTGGGAGCCAAGCCAGGCCTGGGTGTTCAGGAGCAGTGCAGATCCACGAGAACAGGTGAGGCCCAGCGTGGTGCTGAACACTGCTGAGCTCAGGCGGGTGAGGCCTTTGCAATTACAGACAGGGAGGCAGAGATGATTGTGGAGAAAGGTATTCCCTGCAGTAGTGGGTATAGCCTCAGGCCAGGGTGATAGAATGACAAGAAGGAGAGAAAACTGGTCTGCATGAGAAGTTTGAGTGGAGGGCTGTCTGAGTAGGTTTTATTATTATTATTATTATTATTATTATTATTATTATTTTGAGATGGAGTCTCACCCTTTTGCCCAGGCTGGAGTGCAGTGAGCGTGATCTCGGCTCACTGCAACCTCTGCCTCCCGGGTTCAAGCAAAATTCTCTTGCCTTAGCCTCCCAAGTATCTGGGATTACAGGCGCTCACGGCTAATTATTGTTATTATTATTTTTTTTGAGATGGAGTCTCGCCCTGTTGTCCAGGCTGGAGTGTGGTGGTGCAATCTCAGTTCACTGAAACCTCCACCTCCCAGGTTCAAGAGATTCTTGTGCCTCAGCCTCCCAAGTAGTTGGGATTACAGATGCCACCACCACGCCCGGCTCATTTTTGTATTATTAGTAGAGACAGGGTTTCACCATGTTGGCCGGGCTGGTCCTGAACTCCTGACTTCAGGTGATCCACTCACCTGGGCTTCCCAGAGTGCTGGGATTACAGGTGCAAGCCACTGCACCCGGCTGGTTTTATTACTATTTAGGTATGGTAAGGTCAACAGATCAGGAGACAGACATTAAAAAGAGTTTGTTACTCAGAATTTCCAAGAGGAAAGAGCCTGTCCCACCATGAGGGGCCACAGGAGGAAGCACCAGGGCCACTCAGGAGGCAGAGGTGCAGGGAGGAACTTCAGGCAGGAGTTTCCAAGGGAGGGACTGGGCCAGGGAGGAAAGCTGGGTTTATGATTAGCTAGTTTGCATAATTCCATGAGCTCAGGGGCACAGGGGCCACGTCCGATTGTCTGGCACCTGGTCCTGGCGTGATGAGAGCAGGTGCACCGTGGCCCAGAGTGTGAGAGCCCAAAAGCACTCTTTCTATATATATACACATATATGTATGTATATATACATGTATGTATGTATATATATACACACACATAAATATATACACATATATGTGTATGTATATTTTTTATTTTTTCTTTCTTCTTTGAGACAGAGTCTTGCTCTGTCGCCCAGGCTGGAGTTGAGTGGCACAGTCTTGGCTCACTCAACCTCTGCCTCCCGGGTTCAAGCAGTTCTCCTGCCTCAGCCTCCTGAGTAGCTGGGACTACAGGCAGACACCACCACACCCAGCTAATTTTTGTATTTTTAGTAGAGAAGGGGTTTGTTTCACCATGTTGGCCACGCTGGTCTCGAACTCCTGACCTCAGGTGATCCACCTGACTTGGCCTTCCAAAGTGTTGGGATTACAGGCATGAGTCACCATGTCTGGCCCTCAAAAGTGCAAGATTCAAAGAGGTTACAGTCTTTTCTCCCTGCTCCCCCAAAACCCACAGCTTCCTAGGGGACATCCTGGCTGAAGACTTTGCTGACCACGTCATGAAGAATGAGAAGGACAGCAACTATGGTTTTGCAGAGGAGTACCAGGTGGGGAGAGGACAGAAGGGCTGAGCTCAGCCTCCCTCTGTTGGCCCATACCCCCACTCCCACCCCCTGACCAGACCTCATGGCCTTTGGGATCGAGCAAAGGCAGAAACATATATGTCATTGGATTGTCAGGGATTCCCAGGCATGCTTATCTTTCCACTCACTGAAATCTTTTTTTTTTTGACATGGAGTTTTGCTCTTGTTGCCCAGGCTGGAGTGCAATGGCGTGATCTCAGCTCACTGCAACCTCCGACTCCCTGGTTCAAGCAATTCTGCTGCCTCAGCCTCCCGAGTAGCTGGGATTACAGGCATGCATCACCACACCCGGCTAATTTTTGTATTTTTAGTAGAGACAGGGTTTCACCATGTTGGCCAGGATGGTCTCGAACTCCTGACCTTGTGATTCACCTGCCTCGGCCTCCCAAAGTGCTGGGATTACAGGCATGAGCCACCACCCCCGGCCCTTGAAATCTTAAAATAATGGTGGGTCAGTCCTAAAGTAACCCTCTCCACTCCCACCAAGTGAGTCCTTTCTCCCTGACACCTGCTTTCTTGCCTGCTTGAAGAAGTCCCCACGGCTCCCTCAATGCCCCACAGAGTGGGCAGCACACATATGTCCTGTTTCTGTGGGTGCCATAGAATCTCAGGGCACAAGGGATAAACAAGTGGTGATGCCAAAGAAGGCAAGGGGAGCTTGGGGGGTCCCCTCAAGGGCAAGTAGAGAAAATCCAACACCAGGTACCCCCTCTGCCTGCACCCCCAGCAACTGTCCCTGGTGGGCACCAGCCAGTCTCAGATGGTGGCTTCAACTCCAGAGAACAACACCAAGAACCGCTACAGAAATGTGCTTCCCTGTGAGTCTTGGGCTTCCGCTGCTTTCGCCCCAGCCCCGATCTAGTCAGCACCCCACCCCAGTGCCCTTCTCCTACCTGCTATGAGAGACAAGACCCTCCCCCACATGGTCTTCCTTTTTTTTTTTACTTGGAGACCGAGTCTCACTCTGCTTCCCAGGCTGGAGCGAAGTGGCGCCGTCTCAGCTCACTGCAACCTCTGCCTCTTGGATTCAAGGGATCCTCCCACCTCAGCCTCCCGAGTAGCTGGGAGTACAGACACCTGCCACCACGCCCGGCTAATTTTTGCATTTTAGTAGAGATGGGGTTTCACCATGTGGGCCAGGCTGTTCTGGAACTCCTGACCTCAGATGATCCACCCACCTCAGCCTCCCAAAGTGCTGGGATTACAGGCGTGAGTCACCCCGCCTGGCCATGGGTCCCTTTGAGAGTCCTCCTGGCCTGCTCCCCACAGCTGTGGTCCCTCCACCTCTCTTGATCCTACATAGCTCCCAGGGCCTGCCTGCACCTCGGCATGAGCTCTGTCTGTGGGTCTTGGTCTTGTCTCTATGCCTCTCTGGGTCTCTCGGCCTCTCACTGGTCTCTCTGCATGGCTAATGCTGGCCTCTTCTCCTAGATGACTGGTCCCGGGTGCCCCTGAAGCCCATCCCCGAGGAGCCAGGCTCTGACTACATCAATGCCAGCTTCATGCCCGTAAGGCCGTGGTTGGGATTGAAAGGGTGCCCAGCAGGCCTGGAGAGATAAGAGCTGGCAGGGGTCATCCAAAGGCCCCCATGACCCACCTGCCTCCCTCAACCAGGGTCTCTGGAGCTCCCAGGAGTTCATAGCAACCCAGGGCCCCCTGCCACAGACAGTGGGCGACTTCTGGCGCCTGGTGTGGGAACAGCAGAGCCACACCCTGGTCATGCTGACCAACTGCACGGAGGCCGGCCGGGTGAGAGATGCGGGTCCTGCATGCTGACTGGGTGCATGACCCCGCCCCGAACACTGATCCAATGTAGACCCCATACCCAGACCTCATGGGTTCCTCCAGTGTCACCCCAGGAATCTTCAGTGTGACCTCTCCCCCACTCTCCCAGCCCGTCTGCTGGTTCGCATGTGGGGGCTAAGGCAGACCCCACAGACCTGGGGAGGAGGAGTTCTCCTGTTCTCTGAGCCCTTATCCTCCCCCAGGTGAAGTGTGAGCATTACTGGCCTCTGGACTCTCAGCCCTGCACCCACGAGCACCTGCGGGTGACCCTGGAGAGTGAGGAAGTGACGGAGAACTGGACGGTCCGGGAACTGCAGCTCCTCCAGGTGCGTCCAGCCCCGCGCTGGCCCTCAGCCTTCCCCTGTGGCATGCCAGGCACCAAGGACCCTCCACCAACTCCAGCCTTCCACCCACCGCTTTGAGGAGCTGAGCTGTGCTCCAGGGAACCCGCCCTCAGTGGTAGAAGCCAGGTTCTCCCTACGTTCATCTCCAGAGCCTGTAAGCACTCCCTCCTTCCAGGTGGAGGAGCAGAAGACGCTCTCCGTGCGGCAGTTCCACTACCTGGCCTGGCCGGATCACGGCGTTCCCTCCTCCCCAGACACGTTGCTGGCTTTCTGGAGGATGCTCCGGCAGTGGCTGGATCAGACCATGGAGGGAGGCCCACCCATTGTGCACTGCAGGTGGGGACCAGCCCAGGACCCTCTCCCGAGAGAACCGCTCCCTTGGGGCTCAGACGGTGGTGCTAGATGGGACCCTGGGGACTCACAGGGAGGTGAAAAGGAAGAGAAGGAGATGGATGTCGAAGATAAAGGGGGGCATGAAGCAGATAAGAAGAGGAGGAGTTTAAGGATGAAACGATGGGAAGGAGAAATGAAAAGTCAGGCTGGGCATGGTGGCTCACGCCTGTAATCCCAGCACTTTGGGAGGCCGAGGTGGGTGGATCAGTTGAGTTCAGGAGGTTCAGAGCAGCCTGGCCAACATGGTGAAACCCCGTCTCTACTAAACATACAAAAATTAGCCGGGTGTGGTGGTGGGTGTCTGTAATCTCAGCTACTCGGGAGGCTGAGGCAGGAGAATCGCTTGAACCCAGGAGGAGGAGGTTGCAGTGAGCCGAGGTCACACCACTGCCCTCCAGCCTGGGTGACTTTGTCTCAAAAAAAAAAAAAAAAAAAAAAAAAAAAAGAAAGAAAGAAAAAAAGATGAAAGGGTAAAGGAAGAGAAGGTTGAATGCAGAAGAGGAGAAGGGATAAAGGTGCAGGAGGGGGATGAGGCCACACATTCAGAGAAACATTGGAGGCACTTCCTTGTGCTCAAGTACGGGGCCTCCCCATCAACTGCTTTCCTGATATTTATTTATTTATTTTTATTTTATTATTATTACTTTTTGAGACGGAGTCTCCCTCTGCGGCTCAGGCTGCAATACAGTGCTGCAGTCTCAGCTCACCGCAACCTCTGCCTCCTGGGTTCAAGCAATTCTCCTGCTTCAGACTCCTGAATAGCTGGGATTACAGGCACACACCACCACGCTCTGCTAATTTTTGTGTTTTTAGCAGACATGGGGTTTCACCATATTGGTCAGGTTGATCTCAAACTCCTGACCTCAGGTGATCCGCCCGCCTCAGCCTCCCAAAGTACTGGGATTACAGGCACAAGCCACAGTGCCCAACCCTTTCCTGATATTTATGCTGAAGTCCTGTAGGTCAGAGTCCTGTACGTCAGATTTCATCTAACGGCAACTATTAGGGAGATGATGAGGAGGGACAGATCCTGAGACTGGGGCTCTGGTTTCAGCGACAGTGAATGTTTACACAGTCCTACTGCTCCTCCTAACGACCTCGTGGCAAAAGAGTTCCCTCCCCATTCTAGAGCTGAGTGGGTATCATTACATCATTCTGTTAGTATGCAACATCCAAAACAGCCAAATCAACAGAGACACAAAACAGATGAGTATGTTCCAGGCCCTGGAGGGAGACAGGGAATGGGGAGAGACTGCCTAATCGGTATGGTGCCTGCTTTAGGGGTGAAGAAATGTTTTGCAACTAGATAGAGGTGGGGGCTACACAACACTGTGAGTGTGCTAAATGGCTCACATTAAAATAGCTTTTTTTTTTTTTTTGAGACACAGTCTTGCTCTGTTGCCCAGGCTGGAGAGGTGCAATCTCGGCTCACTGTAACCTCCACCTCCTGGGTTCAAGCATTTCTCCTGCCCCAGCCTTCTGAGTAGCTGGGACTACAGGCACATGCTACTACTCCTGGCTAATTTTTTGTATTTTAGTAGAGACGGGGTTTCACCGTGTTAGTCAGGATGGTCTCGAACTCCTATGCTCAGGCAGTCCACCCACCTTGGCCTCCCAAAGTGCTAGGATTACAGGTGTAAGCCACTGCATCCAGCCTAATTTCTTTATTTTTAGTAGAGACAGAGTTTCTCCATGTTGGCCAGGCTGGTCTCAGACACCTGACCTCAGGTAATCTGCCCACCTCGGCCTCCCAAAGTGTTGGGATTACAGGTGTGAGTCACTGCGCCCAACCTAAAATAGCTATTTTTTTTCACTAGGCGTAGCAGCTCATGCCTGTAATCCTAGAACTTTGGGAGGCCAAGGCGAGAGGATCCCTTGAGTCCAGGAGGTCAAGGCTGCAGTGACCTGAGATTGTGCCACTGCACTCCAGCCGGCATGACAGAGAGAGACAAAACAAAACAAAAGATTAATTTTGTGTTTAAAGGAATTTTTAAACGATTGGCTGGAGAGTTCCTCTTCCTGTGTTCGAACCCGGCTCTGTCACTTACTAGCTGAGTAACCTGGGGAATGAGACCTCACCTCACTCAGCCTCCATTTCACCATCTGTACAATGGGTGTGCGAGTGCACCCCACTGCTTAGGTTTGTGAGGACTGAAGAAGGCCCATCAGGCACTTAGAACAGGGCCTAACAGATGCAAGGAACTCTAGACATAGTTTTTCGTGGTTTTTTTTTTTTTTTTTTTTTTTTTTTTTTTTTTTGAGATGGAGTTTCTCTCTTCACCCAGGCTGAGGTGCAATGATGCAATCTCAGCTCACTGTAACCTCTGCCTCCTGGGTTCAAGCAATTCTCCTGCATCAGCCTCCCAAGTAGCCAGGATTACAGGCGTGCGCCACCACACCCGGCTAATTTTTGTATTTTTAGTAAAGACAGGGTTTTGACACATTGGACAGGCTGGTCTTGAACTTCCGACCTTGGGTGATCCACCTGCCTCAGCCTCCCAAAGTGTTGGGATTGCAGGTGTGAGCAGGCATAGTTGCTGTCATCATTCAAACACAGATCCCTCCAATCAGCCATGACCCTGGACCCTCTCACTCCCGCCCCTTGGTCTGACCCTTTCTTTGTTCTGCTTAGTGCTGGCGTGGGCCGCACGGGCACCCTCATTGCCCTGGACGTCCTGCTTCGGCAGCTGGAGTGCGAGGGTCTCCTTGGGCCCTTCAGCTTCGTGAAGAAGATGAGAGAGAGCCGGCCGTTGATGGTACAGACGGAGGTGAGGCAGCCCCTGGCCCCAGAGTGATACTGGATAGGAGGTGGTGGGACATGGGACCCTGGGACTCCACACAGCCCAGGCTTGCAGAGACACCCCTCGCTCATTCCCATGCCCCCTCCCCAGGCCCAGTACATATTCCTGCACCAGTGCATCCTGCGGTTCCTCCAACAATCAGCCCAGGCCCCAGCTGAGGAGGAGGTCACGTATGAGAATGTTGAAAACCTTATTTTCGAGAACAAGGCCGCCATCCAGGCCCATGAGTTGGAGGTCTAAGTGACAAGAGGGCTGGGCTGGCAGCCCAGGCATCCTCAAGCTCTGGACGCCCACTTGAACCCAGATTCCTGGAAGAGCAGAGGGCTGGGCTCCCAGACTCCTGGGTGCTGTGGGAGGAGGGGGCTGGGAGCCCAAACTCCAGTTTCCCCAGGAGAGAGTGATCTGGTGGACCTCAGCACATGACTCTATGGACCTGGGGATCTGGATTCCTGGTGCCTTGAAGGAGGAATGGGGTGGTAGCTTGGAATTCCTAGGTCTTTGAGGGAGGAGGAAGCTGGGAATCTGGGATGCAGGAAGAAACAGGCTGGAGCCTGGATTCTGAGGCAGGAAGGAATTCAGGTCTGGAATTCTGGCTACTTGAGGACAAAAGGCAAGCAGGATCCTGCCCTGCTTTTACTTCAGAAACCAAATCAGTCTATAATCTGAGGTTGGAGGGAGTCCCTGTGCCCAAGGTCTCCCTGCACCCACTGTCTGCATATGTGTTTCCTTCTATCCCATAATTTATTAAATCACTGTTTTCCACAGAGATGGTTGTCCTATGGATTTCTAGGTCTGGAAATAATATTGGGGTGGGAGTAGGGATGGGTTCCTGGAATCTAGGGATAGAGACAAACGTCCAGGAGGGGACTAGGGGGACCCACACACTTGCCCATAAAAAAATGTAGGATTTGGCTGTTGAGTCTCTCAGAGAAGGCAGCATCCAATCATCTGTGTCTGGGGTCTGGGAAGTATGGACAGGGCTCGCTGAAGCTAGGTGCTTGGGGACTTGCCTTCTGGGCTTTCTCTTTCCTTCCTTCCTCCCTTCCTCCCTTCCTCTATCCCTCCCCTCCCCTCCCCTTCCCTTCCCTTCTTCTTCCCTTCCCTTCCTCCCTTCCCTTCTTCCCTTCCCTTCTTCTTTCCTTCCTTCTTCCCTTCCCTTCCTTCTTCCTTTCCTTCTTCCCTTCCTTCTTCCCTTCCTTCTTCCCTTCCCTTCCTTCTTCCCTTCCCTTCCTTCTTCCCTTCCCTTCCTTCTTCCCTTCCTTCTTCCCTTCCCTTCCTTCTTCCCTTCCCTTCCTTCTTCCCTTCCTTCTTCCCTTCCCTTCTTTCACTGTTGTCCAGACTGGACTGCAATGGCTCACTGCAGCCTTGACCTCCCGGTCCCAGGTCATCTTCCCACCTCAGCCGCTAGAGTAGCTGGGTTCACAGGCGTGTGCCACCACACCCGGCTCATTTTCACGGAGACGAGATTTTCCTATGTGCCCAGGTTAGTTGCCAGCTCCTGGGCTCAAGCATTCCTCCCCCTTCAGCCTGCCAAAGTGCTGGGGTTACAGGCGTGAGCCACTGCCCCTGCCGCCTCCTGGGACTGGCATTAGGGGGAACTTAGAGGGCAATGTCTGGGGGCTGATAGTTGGGGACTTTGATGCTAATACCCACAGAGTCTAGGTCTCCAGTGGGGGTCTGGGGTCTCCTGGGTCCTAGGACCGGTTATCCTGCCATGCAGTTCTTTGGGCTGTATAGGGTGTCGTGTGTGTTGGGGCGGGAGTAGTGGAGTGGTGTGGACGGCCAACGACTGGACCAGAAGGCAGAAAATTCTAAGGCACCAGGATAAATATCTCTGGGCGCCATCGAGGTTCCCGGGTGGGGGCGAGAGGAGGGGCGGGGCGGGGCTTTCCGCCTACAGGAGACCAAATACGGGCACACACACAATACACACCACACACGCGCGCACACGCACACGGGCACACATGCGCGCACGGGATCCTGCTCCACTCGGCGGCTCCTTCGCCCCGCCGAGCTCCGCGATCAGCACCCGGGACAGCGCCACCGCCCACGTGCGGGGGGCGGGGTCCGGGCGGGGCTGGCGCCTCGGCGTCTCCCGGGAGTGTCCCGTCCAGCCGCCGAGCAGGTAGGAGCTGCTGGGGCCCCCGCCTCAGCCCATCTGCACCCGCATTTCTAGAGGAAATGTGTGTGGGAGTGGGGGCTGGGGCACTGGGGGGACCGACAGAGGCAGTGGGAGGGAGGGCTCGAGCCTGAAGCGCGGAGACTGGGATTTAGGACATGGAGAAGACAAAGAGCGGAGGGCGGGGAAGGGTCGCAGGCGGAGGAAAGGAGGAGAGACCCTGGGGACAGAGGCCAGGCGATAGGACAGAGAGACAGGCGGGATGGGGAGGCAGACCCAGGGACGACGCCTATTTGGGGACAAGAGAGCGTGGAGACCGAGGCGGTCACGAGAACAGGTGTGAAGACAGCGCAGATGCGTGGAGAGACCAACAGGCCAAGAAGGATGAGGGGGGCCCAGCACAGGCGCCGGGCAGCCCCCGACCCGCCCTCCAGCAAAAAAGGGGAGAGGGAAGGGGGAACCTGCGTCTCAGTTCCCAGGACCAGGTTCGGAGGGAGGAACCGGCTGTGGGCGCTCGGACCGCAGGCTGCCCCCTCCCCACATCGCGGGACCTCAGGATCCCATTTGGGGTATTGGAGGTTCCCAGGCACCAGTGGGGCCGGGAGCGAGCCTGCCCCGCCGGGACTCCGCGTCTGTGCGTCAGCCCCGCCCGTCGTCCTGGCAACAGACCGTTGCCCGGGCAACCAGCTTTGCTCCCACCCCGCCCGAGAGGAGCCAGGCTGTTGCTCTAGGCAACGCGGTCCGCTGGTTCCCACGCCTGCCTTCACCCGCTTCCGGTTCAGGCCCTGCGGAAGGGCGAGGAAAAGGCAGAAGTCAGCGGGATGCCTGTGGAGGCGTGGAGGAAGCGGGTATCCCTTTGGGATGGAACTAGGTCCTGAATACCCCCTCTCAAGCGTGGGGAGGCTGAAACTACAACTCCCAGCATGACTCGCGGTGGCTGGCCGGTTTCTGTGCGGCTGTTCGCGCAGGAACCTCATGGGAGTTGGAGTTCTTTGTTGTGCGTGGGACTCAAGGGATGTCTGGGGTGGGAATGGGGGACTAGGGTGCTTGAGTGCCTCTGCAGAAAAGACTCTAGGACTCGGCCACCATGTTCCCGGAGCCCCCAACCCCAGGGCCTCCATCGCCCGACACGCCTCCAGACTCCAGTCGCATCAGTCATGGCCCAGGTGAGCAAGACCCGGGGGTTGAGCAGAGAGAAAGCCCGGCCAGGATTTTCAGGGGCGGGATTCAGACGGGCGTACTCTTGCAGGCGGGCTGGAAAATCCGGCTGGGATTTAGGGTCGTTATCCTGGACCGGAATGCGAACGAAATCGGGGAAAGGAAGGAAGAGATTTGCAACAAAAATCGAAACCGGATCAAGGGGTGTTGCATGGAATGAGATCTTAGAATTCGAAGGTCCACCTAGCCCTTCGTTTACAGATAAGGAAACTGAGGCCTGATGAGGAGCAGGGCTTCTTCTAAAAGCATCAGGAGTTGAGCAGAAATTGAGGGGGTGAGGGGTGGGGGCGGTAAGGAAAGGCAGAACTAACAAGCAAGCAAATCAGATGGTGTCAGTCTGGGTTAGGGCATCGAATCTCTCTATAGGCCAGATTAGGTGGAAGGAAAACACAGGAAGAAATGGAATGAAAATAGCTGGAGGGAAAAGGAGGCCAGCACTCCAGCTTCCACGTGTAATCAGGATTGAATCAGCCCTCGCACAGCCCAGGCGTTAGTATGTGTTTTCTCCTCCACCCCTCTGCAGTGCCTCCCTGGGCCCTGGCCACCATCGTGCTGGTCTCAGGCCTCCTCTTCTTCAGCTGCTGTTTCTGTCTCTACCGGAAGCGCTGTCGGAGGCGGACGGGCAAGAAGAGCCAGGCCCAAGCCCAGGTCCACCTTCAGGAAGTGAAGGGGCTGGGCCAGAGTTACATAGACAAGGTGTGGCCCAGCACAGCCCCTCAACCTGGCCCCTTCCCACACCCTGCTCCTCTCATTGGCTCAGCTGGTCCCAGTCCCTGCTCCCTTCCCTCCTATAGGAACCCACCTTATTGACTCATCCTCCCTGTGTGTCTAGCCCTCAACTGGACTTTGGGGACCTGGAGATGGAACAGATCTAGTTGCTGTTCACAAGAACTTCCTAGTCTGGTGGGAGAGTCAGGCAGTGACACAGACACTCACCACACAGGGTAATATGTGCCATATTACAGGGTCTTATAGGAGTGCAGAAAAAGCATCTCACTGTATAGAAACCTACAGAAAAATAAATATTTAGCTCTGGGCCAGGCACCGTGGCTCAGGCCTGTAATCCTAGCACTTTGGGAGGCTGAGACGGATAGATTGCCTGAGCTCAAGAGTTCAAGACTAGCCTGGGCAACATGGTGAAACCCTGTCTCTACTAAAAATAAAAAAAATTAGCTGGGCATGGTGGCACATGCCTCCAGCTACCCGGGAGGCTGAGGCACAGGAATCACTTGAAATGGGGAGGTGGAGGCTGCAGTGAGCTGAGATTGTACCACGGCACTCCAGCCTGAGTGACAAAGCGAGATTCTGTCTCCAATAAATAAATAAGTCAATAAATAAATGGCTCTGAAAGCTGAAAAACAACTTTGTGCCAGAATACTTTGAGATGTGCTGATTTCTTTCAGAAAATGGAACATATTTACAGTAAGAAAAAATTTTAAACAGAGGATCAGACAGAAGACGCTTCATGGTAGAGGTGACTTCTGCATTGAGACCCAAAGGACAGAGCTAACAGAGCAGAGAGAAGGACATTCTAGTCTAAGGAGGTGCATGTGCTGAAGCCCCATATCCAGATTCTGAGGCTTATTTGGAGAACAAAGAGTCATTTTTCACAATAGCTTCACTCTGGAGTCTAGTGTCTGGAGAACTCAGCAGTGTCCACATCATGAGGGTGATGAAAGCTACAAATATGTTTTGCGCATGAGGGATAGGGTCAGATGTTGTTAGAATGACTCCTCTGGAATCCCTGCGTTGGACAGATCTGGGGCGAGGAGTCCAGGGAGGAGGTCAGTGCAGCAGCAGCCTGGAGAAGATGAAAGAGATTTGCACTGGACGAGGCCATGGGAATGGAAAGCGGTCACTGCAGGGTCTGAACATTAAGTCTCTCCGTGCGGAGTGCTACGGTTACCTGGGAGCCAGACAGCCCTAGATTTCCAACCAAGAAGGACCATTTCCCATTTTGTGACCTTGGAGAATTCACTGTCCCTCTCTGAGCCTCAAGTTTGTGGTCACTAACTTGGTATTTCCCCTTTCCTTCTCAGTAAGGAGCTGTTACAATTAGTATCCATAAAGGATGCCATTTAGGGCCCTGGTGTCCAGCCCCATCCCTATCCCTTAAACCAGTGATGTTCAAAGACCATTTGCATCAGAGTCACACAGAGTACTTGTTGAAATGCAAATTCTGGAGCTAGCACCTGACTTATTGAGTCAGAATCCCTAAAGAGGTGACCTCAGGCATTTTGCCACAGGACTCAGGGGAATTCAGATTCACACTGAATTTTAAGAATTACTGGCCTAGGTTAAGGAGACACCTTCTGCTTTTTTATTCTACTTTAGAATGACAAGTACACAGTAAATATTCCATTTCTCCTCCATATTTTGCTGTGCTAAGATCACTAGCAAACATGGCAGTTTGCACTACCATCCCAATACATCCGTTAGCATGTGAAATAAAATCTACCTCATTCCTGTGGGCAATGAGACACTATCCACACTTATTTTAATCTAAGCATGACAAACATATGTCTAGTCCCTGCCCATAGCAGACGTCACTAATTGAACTTTCACAAGCATACTGCATCTGTGTTACTATGTCCATTTCTTGCCTGTGGCAGACATCACTAGTCAAATACTGATTCTGCTTAGCTTGTGAGGGCTCAGGTATAGCCAAGGGACCTGTGAGCCTCCCTTGGCTTCTGAGCCTGAAGGATACTGCTGTAGGGGAAGACTTCACCTACTCTTACCCCTGGCTCTCTAAGGTGCAGCCAGAAGTGGAGGAGCTGGAGCCAGCACCATCTGTGCCAGGGCAGCAGGTGGCAGACAAGCATGAGCTAGGACGACTGCAGTACTCCTTGGATTATGACTTCCAGAGTGGCCAGGTGGGTGTGGAGGAAGGGGATGCTTTGGAGGGAGGGTACTGGGGGTGCCAGCCCCTTCTGAAAGGAACCATGAAAGCGAGGCTAAGACTGTTGCCCGCCTCCCCTATTGTGTCCGGGCCCTGCAGCTGCTGGTGGGCATTCTGCAAGCAGAGGGATTGGCAGCCTTGGATCTGGGTGGCTCCTCGGACCCCTACGTGCTGGTCTACCTGCTGCCGGACAAGCGGAGGCGGTACGAGACCAAGGTGCATCGGCAGACACTGAACCCTCACTTTGGGGAGACCTTCGCCTTTAAGGTGAGCTCCTGCCCTCAGGCCCCGTGCTCCATAGCATACGCCCAGTCCCTGGAACCCCGGGGACCGACCGCTTCCGCCTTTCCTGGAGGCGGCCACAGCTCAGGTGGCAGCTACCAGCTCTGGGGCTATTCCACTGGACCCTGGGCACTACTGACGCCCGCGCTGTACCCTGGTCCTTTGGCGGTACCATTTGGGTTCCACTGACTCGTGATTTTCTTTTCCCATGGATCTCTGGACTTCTCCATTTGAGTTTCCCACACTGTTCGCTTGGACCGTGTGCCGTCCACCTCGATGTGCTGCGCTCCACTCTCTCTCTGATTTCCTGCTCTCCACTGCGCATTCTCTGTGCACTCCAGGTCCCCTATGTGGAGCTGGGGGGCAGGGTGCTGGTCATGGCGGTGTACGACTTCGACCGCTTCTCTCGCAACGACGCCATCGGGGAGGTGCGGGTCCCCATGAGCTCCGTGGACCTGGGGCGGCCGGTGCAGGCCTGGCGGGAGCTGCAGGCGGCTCCGCGGGAGGAGGTGAGCAGCCTCGCTCCAAACCACGCCCTAGACCCGCCCCGCCCACAACTCCCTGAGCCAATCAGATCACAGGCCTTCCAGACCCGGAAGGCGGCGTGGACTGAAACCTCTTCCACTCCTTGGATTGTACACCTGGGTACTTAAGTGTGGACCATTCCATTCCAAAGTGTGGGGAGGAAAGGAAGAGAGAGGGGGGATGGATGTGGAGCCGGGGCTCTGGTGATGGGTCCCTCTCCGTCTTTCAGCAGGAGAAGCTTGGGGACATCTGCTTTTCCCTCCGCTATGTCCCTACGGCCGGGAAGCTCACCGTTATCGTCCTGGAGGCTAAAAACCTCAAGAAGATGGACGTAGGAGGACTGTCAGGTGTGTGGGAAGCGAGGGAGTGGGGTGCGTGGGGGTGGCGTGGGGTGGGTTCTCGTTCCGACAGTTTCTGAGCTCCGAGGGTTTCTTGGGGGAGAGGGAGGCCCAGGCTGCCGTGGAAGGCATGCATTCTGGACCATGGATAGGGAGACCTAAAGGGTGTAGGCGGTGTTTCTATGTTGGTCCAATAACTCAGCAGTGGGGGCCATAAGACTCCTCCTTCCTCTCCCCAGATCCATACGTCAAGGTCCACCTGCTGCAGGGCGGCAAAAAGGTGCGGAAGAAGAAAACCACCATCAAGAAGAACACTCTGAACCCCTATTACAACGAGGCTTTCAGCTTTGAGGTGCCCTGTGACCAAGTGCAGGTGAGCTCAGACCTGCCCTTCTCCAAGAACCCAGACCCTTAGTAATCGCCGTTGCTAGAGAGAGAGAGACTTTTCAGCATCCCCCTAGAAACCAGGTGAGGGGAAGTCTGAGGTTCTGTTTGTTCTCAGTCTGTTTCCTTCTGTGAGGACCAGGAAGCCCCATCCACTCCAGAAAGGATCTTCTTAAAATTGGGTGTGGGCATCCTATCTGCTCTAAGCAGGATAGGGATGCCCTGCCCCCGAGACAAGACCAGCATGCCCCACCCCAGGCAGGACCAGGATGCCCCGCCCCCAAGCAGGACCTGGATGCCCCGCCCCTAAGCGGGACCAGGATGCCCCACCCCAAGCGGGACCAGGATGCCCCACCCCCCACGCGGGACCAGATGCCCCGCCCCTAAGCAGGACCAGAATTCCCTGCACCCCAGGCAAGACTGGGATGCCTTGCCCCTAAGCAGGACCGGGATGCTCGCCCCCCACGCGGGACCAGGATGCCCCGCCCCCCTCAAGAACGTGGTTCAGGCCGGGCGCGGTGGCTCAAGCCTGTAATCCCAGCACTTTGGGAGGCCGAGGCGGGTGGATCACGAGGTCAAGAGATCGAGACCATCCTGGCCAACATGGTGAAACCCTGTCTCTACTAA